CAGGCACAGAGGAGAGGCTGACCGGCCTGTACCTAATCCTTACCCATCAGATCGCTCCAGCATGGGCTTTTCCCACAAAGTCACGACTTCTTAGGGTGCAGCCACCCCCTCTGGCATGGAGTCCTTCACGGGCTTCAGATGCCTTTCCGCCTCGTCGTCAGTCTCCAGCAGCATGGGGTCTTTCCCGCTGAGGCAATCTACAACCTCCCTTAGGTACAGGCATCTCTGCTCCAGCGTGGGGTTCTCCATGGGCTGTGGGTGGATCTCTGTTCCACTGTTAATCTCTATGGGCTGCAGGGGGGCCGCCTGCCATCTCACCACGGGCTGCAGAGGAATCTCAGCTCTGGCACACCTCTTCCTGCTTCATCTTCACTGACCTTGGTGTCTGTGTGGCCATTTCTCTCAGATCTTAGTCCTCTCTCTGCTGCAGCTGCGCCAGGCCTGACCAGCCCGACAAACCTCGGCAGTCCCAGCAGGACATACTCCACCCAGCAGGAGCCCCAGGAGCACAGCACTTCGGTGGTCTCCAAGCCGCACCACTGTGGCCATCTCCAGTTGAGTGGTGGCAGCCTGGCACGGGCAGCCAGCCAGCTGCCCAGTCAGGGCACCAGCCCCCCTCTCTTCAGTGTAGGTCCAGCCCCATTCGGGCTCCTTCATCCCCTTCTTAAATAGGGCATTCACAGAAGCACTGATCGGCTCATCCCTGGCCTGAGAGGATGGGAGGGTGCAACCTGGCCAGAGGCCGGTGTGACGGATTTTAGAGCCAGAGAAGCTTTTTGCAGCTACTTAAAGGGGCCATCTCTGCAGCCTCTCCCCTGCTACCAAAATCCCAGCACATCAGCCCAAGGAACAGAGGCAAATCCAGACTAACAGGACCTTTCTGTGTTCACCTGATTGTTACCAGCAGCACTTTAAGTACAGAGTATGCTTTGTAGTAAGCACAGATGTTTATTTTCAAATTGAATAATGGTATGTATTTGTAGTAACGTAACATCGCTATAATGAATGCACTTATGACTATGCTAGACAGCTGAAAATGATGCCTGTAACTTACTAGAAAACTTGTTTTATAAACCCTTTACTGGGGGCTGGGGGGATGTTTTATGTAGGTTACAATTTATTTTTAGCCTGTTTTGATTTAAGCAGGATATATTTTGTAAAATAATGAAGGAACACCCTTCATCAGTTTGTGATAGTTGAAGACTTAATAAAATCTCCCAAGTGAGGGAACACTTCATGTTAAAATTCATCCAATGCCTATTAACTAATGTTGAGGTAAGACCATCTCTTCTATGTAATAAAGCATCTCTAAGTTCTGCAGCAATATAAAACAGTTCAGATAATCGCAGTAAGGCAGGTGAGGAGAAAGGTGAAAGGAAATTTGCAGGGGAAAGCAGCATCTGTTTGGAGTTTCTGAGTTCCGCGGGCCTGGAACTACATTTGCATGTAGTTCAGTAACTGCTCTTTTGGGAAAACTGCTTGAGATAGCAGCTGCTGTTTCTAGTTTCTCCCATCTCAGCACTTCTTCTCAAGTTGGGGTATGTTGCCTCAGTGAAGCACGCAGACCTTCTCCCTGTAGAACCCTTAAAACTGTGCTCAAGCTGAGAAGATAAATGGTCTGTGAGTCAATTCATCTCTGTGCATTTAGACTTCATTTTGGAAGAGGAAATCAAACCACACACATTTGCATGCCCTCCTCACATTTCTATAGGATCCTTCTCTTTGTGAGGTACACAGGAAGTATTTTTTTAAAAAAGTTGGATTTCTTTGGATATGTAGCAGGGCTTGCAGGTTTTTTAATTATGCGTTTTCTACTGTTTGAACTATTAACAGTGTCAAGTCTAGTTTTTCCTCTGATTTTGTGAGGAATTTTTGGGGAATCTCTAAAGATTTTTGCTGGGAGCTCTTGCGTCTTGGATGAAAGAGCAAGAGAAGTTGAATACTTAACAAAGGCACCCTTGGTCCCAGATGCCCACCAAGCTGTAGAACTGAAAAAGTGTTTTAAAAAAAGAAAAATTAAAAAAATTGAAAGAGCTTAAAGAACGTTCTGAAG